CTACTAGGGAGGGGAGGCAGGAGGATCTTTTGAGCCCAGGAGTTTGAGGCTGTGGTGAGCTGTGCCCATGCCCCTGTACATCAGTCTGCACAACAGAGTGAAACCCTGACTCAAAAAAGAGAAAGAGAGGAAGAAAAGAGAAGAGGGAGAAACACAGCAGCTCTTGCATGGAGCGAAGGTTGTTAAGGACACAGTGAGCAGGCAACTGTCTGCAAGCCAAAAAGAGAGGCCCCTGGAGAAACCAAACCTGTGGACACTTCAGTCTTGTACTTTCAGATTCCAGAGTGGAGAAAATAAATTTCTGTTGTTTGAGCCACCTACTCGGTATTTTGTGATGACAGCCTGAGTAGACTGGCTCACAATTTAATACAAACTCCAGAGGACAAGATGTCTTCTTTTATTAAGTTGCGTGTTTTGTATCAGGTTCTAACTGGTAACTGCTAAAAATATGATTACTTTTATTTTGGGGGACAAGTGATCCAACGACATTCCAAATTTACATTATAAAGAGAGTGAATTGAATACATTATCCTGGTCCACTCCCACCTTTTTTTTTTTCTTCAGCCACTTATTTTCCCTTCCTGCCCTGCTGATGCTCTGTGAGAGTTTGCCCTGCTTGCCTATGAAGGGTGTGACAGTATCTCTAGAAACTGGTCGGGACTGTGACTTGTGCTCGTTGAAACTTCTAAGAGAAAGAAAAAGAAGTCATCTTATTGCTGATTACATTTCACACAAGGCAGAATGCTGTGGTTGAACATCATCATACGGTGACAGCCGATACTGCGGACTCCATCACACCTGGAAAAATAGCCAGGGTTCTTCACAGGGTGCTGCTCGTGTTCTGATCATAAAAGAGGGGGTGTGAGTGAGAATAAGGCAATAAATATGAGCTGTTCCATAGTGCAAAAACTCTGATCTTCAGAGGACGTTGTCCACAGGAAGCTCACAATCCCAGGCAGAGAGGCAGTAAACAAGTGCTTGAAGCCAAGATTGGGTCAGCAATGGTCTTTACACCTAAGTGTCCCTGGCTATTAAGAAGGTTAGGTGATATAAAATTGTGCTTTTCACCCATTCTTTGGGTATTATATATTTAATGGTCTAGATTTCCTATAGATAAAGATAGAGATAGAGACACAGAGAAAGCGGAGGGAGAGAGGATGATGTTCCAATCTTTTCTTTTTCTCTGTTGTACAAATTCTAGCAGGTGGAGACTGAGTCAGTGAAGTGACTTGTCCAAGGTCACATGATTCATGTCAGGGTCGAGTAGGGAACTGGAGTTTCCTCATCTCCAACCCAGTCCTCTTGATGGTTATCACTGTGACCTAATTAACAAGAGCAGCAAATATTTTCAGAAGTGTAATTTCACACTTAGAGATTATATTTTTCCAAAAAGGATCAAGAGAATGTGTTGACTTTGCAAGATGGTTTTGTCATTGTCTCTTAAGTAGCCCACTCAATCTAAATGTCTCTGTTTCAAGAGCATAATTGCTCTTAATAAGTTACAATTTAAAATATTACTATAAAGGAGAGACTTTAAGAAGGTGACATGGACGTGATTCAGTGGTGTAGAAACGAACCCTGGCTTGACCAGCATCATCATCTTTCACCTCTTTTCAGGAATGCAAGAAGGTGGCCCCTGATGATCGACCCTCAAGGCCAGGCTAACAAATGGATCAAGAACATGGAGAAAACCAACAGTCTTCATCTCATCAAGCTGAACGATCCTGATTATGTCAGAACTTTGGAGAATTGCATCCAGTTTGGTACTCCTGGTATGTAGTTGAATAGCAAACATATGTTCTGTAAACGCCTGGAGAGGGCATAGTGAACTCAAAATCGTGTAGTGTTTACATTTTAAAGGATGTCAGACTCATCTTAAATAGTGACTTTGTGCATCTTCTTCATTACTTATTGATAAGTAATCAAAAGTGAACATCAAAGATTATAAACCTTGAAGATGAGGAGACTTTCTTTGCCTCAAGATTCATTGGTGTTTTAATTTCCGTCTGTTGTTCCCATTCTTTAGTTCTCAATATAACTCCACTTCTCCAATTAAAAGGAACACTTAATATACCAATACTATTTTGACACAACATTAGTTCAATTATCTATTTATTCCACTCTTAACTTGTTCTACAAAAGTGGCAGAGATTACAGATTTTGTATGCCTGGCTATTATCTGTTATTTTCAACAGAGACATTAGAAACATGACAAGGAGTTTTCATTGAAGCTCTGATGCAGATGCCACATTTATCAGAACAAAAAGCAGAATACTTTGTCATTCACGTAAATGGAGATTATTAGTCATGTTTTAAATTCATTTAACCCATCAAGTTTTTACTACTTATGTGACCAAATAGATGTAAACACTTAGGAAACTACCACATCATTAGCCCCAGGACAGGTGCAGCAAAGCACACTTGCTATTAGAACTAGTACAGTATGTAAGAATTTATTGTGTGGTCTTACAGATATCTTATTTGCACATATTAATAATTAGTCTTCAAAAATTAATTACAATTTTAGGTTCTGTTATGGTAAGCATGAAATGAAAATTATCTGAGTCTACCTATAAAACTTTGTGTTTATATTATGGATACACACACACACGGCATTTCCATTCATTTGATCAGAGTTCTTAGCATAGAGTATAGTGATATAGAAGTTACATAAAAAGGAGAAAAATGATAGCTATTATTAAATATTTTGCTTGTCCAATATTAGCATCAGCTATACGTATATGTGTATGTATGTGTGTTTGTGTGTGTGTGTATCACTATAGTAAAAATAGAAAGTGGACATCCATCACTAACTCTTATTAGGACTAATATAGTTAAAGGGTAGGAGTGCTGGCTCTAGATTCAGAGTACTTCCCTCTGTCACTCAGTGTTTGACTCAATGACCATCCTGAGATTCAGTTTCCCCATCTGTACCTTAACCATCTAGTGTGAGGAAGAAATGAGCTACTATATGTGGGATGCTTAGAGCAGTGTCTAAGTGCTCAGATTATGTTGTGTTTTTTTGTTGCACATTTGCTATATGGTTTATGTGTATCATCATTTGTAGAATATAATAAGAAAGGCACAGATGACATACTGTAAGAATTCAGAGGCATCAGGGGAGATTTCTTGAAGGAATTAGCACCTTAAATACTTTAAATAATTAAAATTACTTAATTTAACTTAAATAGTCAAATAATTTCTGTGACTCAATAAAAGACAAATGATCATTGAGCACCTACCATGTGCTGTCAGACATTCTAGAGATTTCTGTGATATCTGTTGCATATCTTGATGTTAGAGTTACATAATTTTAGAGGAGAAAGGGTCAGAGATTATCTGCCTAGTGTTTTTCAATTTATGGGTCACAGCCATGGGAGAGAAAATCAGTGTAGTGGGTCATGGCCAACATTTGTCATGAAATGCAAGAGGAAAGAGCAGAACATGAGACTGTAACACAGGGTGTAAAGTAAGCATTATTTCATGATGTTTCTGACATTTTATGTGTGTATGTGTGTACCCGGTCAGGATTTAAAATGTATTTCTTATTTTGAATTTGGCCATAAAAATTTGAAATCCAATAACAATCCCAGCCACTCCCTTTATTTACAAGGTAAGTGAGATATTAGAGAAAGTTCGTTAAATGGCTGACCCAGGGCTATGTATTCCATTAAGGGAGTGCTGGGACTTGTCCCCAAGTCTTATGCCTTTGTCCAGTGTTCACTGTGTCACATAAGAAGACCTTCTTTCAGTTGATCTGACCTATACTTTGGAATAAAATACTTCTTTTCTAAAAATTTTTTTTATCTTAAAGATGTGAAGTACAATTCAGGGTTAGGTATACAAATGTTTATTATGCAGGTATTGTTGTTGATGAGGTGTGCCTTCCCTTGGCAGTTTCCCACTACTGCCAATCCCTTTTTTATAGTATTATGATAATTGTTCAAGGTCCACTTATAAGTGAGAACATGTGGTACTTGGTTCTTTGTTTCTGTGATGGATCACTCAGTATTATAAGTCCATCCAAGTTGCTGTGAAATTCATAATTTTGTCCTTATTTATGGCTGCGTAATATTCCATTGTGAATATGTACCACATTTTTTTTATCCAGTTCTCTTTTGATGGGCAGCACGACTGGTTCCGTGTTTTTGCTATTGTGAATAATGCTGCAATAAACATGCATGTGCAGGTATCTTTTTTATAGAGTGATTTGAGTTCCTCCAGGTATATTCCCAGTAGGGGGATTATGGGGTGGTATGTATGGAAGGTTGATTTTTAGATCTTTTAGGAATCACCAAACTATTTTCCACAAAGGTTATACTAGTTTACACTCTCACCAACAGTGTAGAAGTGTTCCCTTTTCATTGCATCCTCTCCAGCATCTGTTGTTTTTTGAGTTATTGATGATGGCCATCCTCACTGGAGTTAGGTAGTGTCTCAATGTGGTTTTAATTTGCAGGAGTAAAATACTTCTTAAGTGACTGGTGACTATTTACAATGTTTTCTAACATTAGTCATCAGAGGGAAGTGAAAAGTTTTAATTTATTAATAGAAGGAGAGACAGATGGCAGATTTCATAGCTATTTTTATATTTAGTCATCAATTAAAAGATGTGGTTACTGTTACTTTTGCAACATAAGTAGTTGAAGACTCTTCCATTTAAGAAGCTATCTTTATACATTAACCTGTCCAGGACAGGGAGTCTTGCATCCCTCCAGGCGGCCTCACCCTCCACCTGTGTTTCAACCAGAGCAGGGCTCCCTTTTCTTTTTTATATTGAATTTTAAGGTAAGATCCTCTTTTTAAAAGTGTTCTGCTTTAAAACAGTTTGAAAGCCAGTGTTATAGGAAATAAAGGTCTATCTATATTAGCTACACCATTGGATAAGGTGTGCATAGATTATTAATTATACAAATATTGCTGATAAAAAAATCGATGTGTATAGAAGGTATTTTCATGACTTTCCATTGTATCCGTTTTTTAAAAATCTGTATATCAACAGTACAATCTATGGCATCTGAGCCTCCTTACTTTTCTTATCTCCCAGCACTCAACTTGCTTTTTCTCTTGTTCATAAGTGATCAGGGACTCAAAACTGCTTCTGGTATAACATTTCTTTCATTGGTGATGATTGTCTGTCATCACCTAATGAACGTTTGTGTTGCAACTGCCACACTCCAGGCACTGCGGGAGTCTCTGGAAACAGTGCGAGCAGGACAGACATGGGCTCTGCTTTCATGAAGCTGACTGGTTCAGGGGGAACAGATGATGGGAAGTTAGGATGAGCTGGGGACCAGGGCTCCTGGGAGCCAGTGACTTCAGAACAGTGTGGCATTGCTCCCATGTCTCAGCTATCTTACTCTTCCACACATCTGGGAAGCTCCTCTACATTTCATCTTTTAAGATAAGATGTAAAAGGATACCTGCACAATGAATATTTGTATACCTAACCCTGAATTGTATCTCACAATTTTAAAATAAAAATTAAAAGAGAAAAAAAGATAAGATGCAGCTCAAATACCTTTTTTGTCTGTGGCATCTCAACCCCTCCAATGAAGTGCCAATGCTAAACTCTCGTGAATGTTTACTATTGTCCTAGTTTTATGTTCTTATTTGTTTCTCATCCACATCCGGCTTGAGGGCACCTGACAAATGCTCAGTGACTGTTGAATCCACTTGGAAAACAACATGCCACAGAAGTGAACAAAGTGCACAGTAATGTTCCCTATTAATTTGAAGTCTTCCACTGGATAATGTAGATAACTTAAAAACTGATATTATTTAATGTCCTAAGTGCAAAAGAAATTTGAAAAGAACTTTTGCTTCTCCTTGTGTCTCTGTGCTAAGAATGAGTGCTGGTTTGTTGCAGTGAGATGCTCTGCCTTCTGAGAGATGCCAGCAGCTGTGTGCATGCTCCCCAGTCCTGGTCTCCCGCAAACCTCGCCAAGCCTGTGTTGCTCTGGACGTGGGAATGAGGAAGGAGGGTTCAGCATAAACCAGCATACTGCGAAGATTGATGATAGAAATATGAATAGAAGTCTGTCTCATGAGCTTGCCCATGTAATTTTAACGTGAGACGTATTTGATCTAATTAAAAGCTAAAGGAATCAAGTGTTAGAGTCCAAATAAACATGATGAAATTAAGGATAGCATTCTGGGTAACTCATGTACCTATCAATTTTTATTATTTTTTTCTCTTTTTAAAAGTTTATAGTGCTTTTACATTTCCCAGTAAGGCTTATAGTTAATAACTATTCAATACAGAGAATATATTTTTTAAAATCAAGATTCTACAAAAATCTTTCCTAACAGACTTAAGACTTGTTTCTACCAGTGAGGCAATACATTTTCACTCTTGGGAAAAAAGAATCAAGTCTGTAATATCTAAGTTTTATAATGTATATTTTAGCTTAAAAAAAAGACCTACATATATTAATATGGACATTCAATTACATTTCAAACTAGAAAACTTAGGGTGAGTAGGGGATGAAAATGTACAGTAAAGTATTATTTTTAGCTAACATTAATTTAAATAGCAGATTATATGCAAAAAACCAATATTGATAAATATTGAAATTAAGCAGAATTTTTCTTAAACAGAATTCCAGTTCATAATTATCTAGCAAATTAGTAGATTTTTAAAATATTTCATATAAAAATGGAAATGAAAGATTTTCACTATTATCACTATTATTGTTTAACATTATTAGGAAAGTAATTTTCAATGCAATAAAATGAAGCAATGAGGGTGCTATCACATTTAAAAAGGGGAAACCATTATCATGTTAATAAACAATATACTTCACCTAGACAACTAGATAATTAACCGAAAGCTGTAAGAATTAAAGAACTCAGTGGAGTGGATATATTCCAAAAAGGATGTTAAATCAGTAACAACTGGGAAACAGGTTGGTTCTGAAACAACCAATAGGTGGTGAAGAATCAGTGAACAGAAACAAAACAAAGCTAACCAGTGAATAGGACACAAAGCAAAACAAAATAAAATAAATAAAAAAGGAGAGTGACTTTAACAGTAAAAAGTGAGAAAATGACAAAACTTTACAGAAAACCAAGGGAAGATATGACTAAGACATATCTTCTGATAGAAAAATGAAAGATTGTAAAGATGTCAACTCTTTCAGAAATAGTGTTTAGAAAATAATACTATATCTGTACAATGGCCATTAGTATACCTAACTCTGAGTTATACCCCACATCTTTAAAATAGAAAAAAAACTAAAACTAAATACTAGGAGAAAAGAACATTAAAAAGCCAATAAAAATTCAGAAGAATAAGTGTGGAATGAACTGAAATAAGCTCTGGAATGAACCCTAACCTATGTGCACCTTGGATACTCTATAAATGAAGCATTATAAACCAGTGGGAAAATTATGGATCATTCCAGCAAAGTGGTGTTGGAAAACTGGCTTTGTGGAAAACTATATCAAATCAGGGTCTATCTTCATACCAAAATATGTTCCAGATGAATAAGAGAATTAAATATGAAAGAAAAAACAGAAGGCAAATGCTAAAGAAAACAGTCCTTTGATGGGAAAGACCATTTTAAGAAAATATACAATGGAAAAAAACTTTAAAAAAGAAAAGATTAATATTAAAATTTAAATTTTAAATTTCAGCTAAGAAATATATAGAAGTGAGAGTATCAAATAATCATAATTTATGAAACTTACTGTATCCCAATTTAAGCCATCAAACTGTCATCAAAGTATCTTACAATGGGGGAAAACATGTTCTCTGTCTGAATAGTTGATAAAATTGTGAATTAGTATTGACTTTTTTAAGGTGTAGCAATTTTTAAAGACACCTTACCTTTTAGAGACACTTGCAGCTGAAGTTGTATGTGTCTAGGGCATGGTAAATAATCTAGATGAGATGGGGGTGGATGAAACAGGATTGGTTGGATTTACAAGGTTGAAGTCAGTGTTTGGTGCATCAAGGTTCATGATACAGTTCTCTTTATTCTAGAAAAAGGGTTGAAAATTTCCACATGAACAAGTTAAATTGTAAGAAGAAATATAAGCCAATTTAAAAACAAGTGAGAAACTGGGAAAAATACTTGCCAAGTCATGTTAAAAAATACAAATAAAGTTTTTAAGCAAGCCTATTGTGACAGTGTGCTGGCCATTCCCTGTATACTCACCCTCTTCCTCTCTGTTAGCACCTGTGGGACCCAGGCATGCTGCCTCCAGAGAGAGAGTAACATCTCCTAACCTCTGTTGTGGTTGCATGCAGCCATGTGACAGTGGTTGGTGTTGGTCAAGTGACTCTATTCTGACCAATGATGTAAGTGGAAGTGCCATTTGTGACTCACAGGAAATATCCTTAAAGGATGTTTCTTCTTTCTTTCTTCCTCCTTTCTGATGACTGGAAAATGGAAGTGACATGAAAGGCCATGTTGGCCAAAGAGATCAAAGCTGAGTATGAAGACTCTTGAAAAAGAAAGGTGGTGAGAACCTGGCTGTGTATGGTTAGACACACTGTCCTTCCAGCCCCGAACTGACCACCTTGGGCTCCCCTTTCCATGAGACATGGCTCTCCCCTTGTTGGCATTACCATTATTTGGGGTTTTCTGACACCTGTAACTGAACCTGATTGTAAATAACATACCCCACAGTGAAAAGTGGGCAAATATACTAGCATACAGTTTCTAGAAGGAAAAATATAATTAGTCAAAGAGTAGCTAAAACACCCTGCCCAAAATACAAATTTTAACATTATTTTTTGCCTATCAAATGGTATAAGTCACAAATATATTATTTAATGCTGACACTATCACACAGTGGTTGAGAGAGCAATGGAACTAAACTGCCCAGTTCAATTTCCTACTTTGTCATTGATTAGCTGATTTAACTGAAAAATTTACTTTGATTGCCTGTCTTGTTTCATCTGTAAAACTGGGGTAATTGTCTATGCTTTTAAAATTATGAAGATGGTAAGAAAATACAGTGCAAGCATGGTATCCAGTGTTTGTAAGCACAGTGATATTTTGTAAAAATAGGTTGAAAAGTAAAATGAGTGCTCACTGCAACTCTGAAGACTCCGTAGCTTTTCAGGAAAGTAATTTGGCAACATAAACAGTTTTTAAAGCTGTTGCCCATTGACTGTTCATAACAGTTGACCATTATTTTCACTTCTAGGACTCCAGCCTGATTAAGTAATCAGAGATTAACACAAAGGTCTATTTTAAGAGACGTTCACTGTAGCCTTGTTAATAACAGTATAAAAATGGAAGCAACCTAAACAATAGGAAATTAGCTTACTTAATGTATTCTGATGCACTCATATTATTTAACCATGAAAAATAATCATTTTATGCAAGCAGAAAATGAAAATGAGTCTAAAAATCATCTGACATGCCAGCTTTGACTCAGAGCCCAGCAGTGGAAATCGCCAAGAAGACAATTTTAGGAATTATTTAGCTAGGGGTTAGCTAGCTAGCTGTGGGAAAGGAAAGAGCTTGTCTTCACTGTCATTGCAGTAGAGACCCACATAGCTGTTGTGCTGTTCCCTGAGCCCCTTTCTTCCAGTGCAGGTTACATGTCAATCCCTTGAGGCACTTCTGTAGAACACCATGATCCAAGTTTGGCTGTGACAGCCCCACAAACACCAGAGTGTAAGACTTTAGCTCAGCAAACATATCAGCAGCCTTAACAATGCCACTGACCTCGACCCAGGAATTTTCCTTCTAGAATGCTATCAGAAGAAAATGTCCTGAAATGTAAAGTTTTGCATATTGTGTTATTAAAGTGCTATTTATAACATTCAGAACAGGACACAATACAAATATCTAATAATAGAGCACTGGTTAAAAAAATGAGAGAATGCTAATATGATAGATGATGATACAATAATTAAAAGCATGTTTATCAGTTTTTAATAACATGTGGAAACATTTATTCTGTAAGTCAAATAAAATAATGAGCATGCAAAATTCAGTAAATTGTTTAGTCTCAACTGTGTCAAAAAAGGTAAATAAAGGCCGGGCTCGGTGGCTCAGCCTGTAATCCCGCGCCTTTGGGAGGCTGAGGTCAGTGGATTGCCTGAGCCCACGGGTTCGAGACCCGCCTGGGCAGCGAGACCTCATCTCTACAATAAATCAAAAAATCAGCCGGGTGTGGTAGCGCATGCCTGTAATTCCGGTTACTTGGAAGGCTGAGGCGGAAGGATCACCGGAGCCCAGCAGGTCGAGGCTGCGGTGGCTGGGAGCGGCCACTGCACTCCAGTCTGGGTGACAGAGTGAGACTCCAACTCAAAAAAAAAAAAAAGTAAATAAAAAATACTGAAGAGAAAAAATAATTTATTCAACAAATAGTTATATCATCTGGAACTTTGTCATTTTTCTACCAACCTATATATAAGTCAATTATGTAAAATAATTAGGGGAGAGGAAGACTAACATTAAGAAAATCTAATTAAAGATAGTTCTCTAATTTCTTCTTTGTACTTACCTGTATTTTCCAGATGTTCCACAAGAAGCATGTTATTTTTATGTTTAAAAATATAGTAACCAGGCCGGGTGCAGTGGCTCACCCTATAATCCCAGCACTTTGGGAGGCTGAGGTGAGAGGTTTGCCTGAGTCCACGGGTTTGAGACCAGCCTGGGCAACTTGGTGAAACCTCGTATCTACAATAAATTTTAAACAATTAGCTGGACATGGTGGTGCATACCTGTGGTTCCAGCTACCTGGAAGGCTGAGGTGGAAGGATCACCTGAGCCCAGCAGGTTGAGGCTGTGGTGGCCGTGAGTATGTCACTGCACTCCAGTCTGGGCGACAGAGTGAGACTCCAACTCAAAAAGAAAAAAAAATTACAGTAACCATTTAGATAAGTACAGCCAGACATGGCTTTTCTCTGGTCTCTCAGGTGGGTAGACTTGACTTCCATAGTACACGGCCGGCCACATAGTGACCCAAGGCCAGGCAGGGAGCTTACAGGTTGTTGCTCAGGTATAGAAGCAGGTGGGTGATGGGTAGACCCTCAGTGAAGCCCTCCCTATGGAATGCAACTGTTCTTAGGACACTAGGGAAGATAAGGATAATTTTGTAGATAACTAGGCATGGAAGCCATCTATGAGACTGAAGGAACTTGGACACTTGAATATGCACAGTAAATACTTAAAATAACATGCAGTCTTTTTCTGATTTTACTCCAGTGTTGCTAGAAAATGTAGGAGAAGAGCTCGATCCGATCCTGGAGCCCCTCCTGCTCAAGCAGACCTTCAAGCAGGGTGGGAGCATCTGTATCCGGCTGGGCGACACCACAGTGGAGTATGCACCTGACTTCCGTTTCTATATTACCACCAAGTTGCGGAACCCCCACTACCTGCCTGAGACGTCGGTGAAGGCCAGTATCTACTGGGGGCTAGTGACCATGTCTTCCTCTGAGCCATAGGACAGGTCTTCCTAGGAAAGGTAGATTTTGTCCTTTTTTAGTGTTTCCTGAAGTTGCTCTAATAACTTCCAAATGCTGCTTTTCTCTGTGCATGTAGGTAATAAAGGAGCCTTCAGTATTCTGAAAAAAGACCACCAGAATCTAATTTCTGCAGTTGATATTATCCTTAGATTTTCATTGTTGGAAACAGATGACATCTATTCATGTTCTTTCTTTGTAGTAAATGATAATATGCTGATTATTGGAATTGAAATTCAGAAACAGACTACCATTCTTTCTTCTCAGACTAAGGTTGCTGCTATCTGATTTTATGTAATTACTTAAAAGAACTGATTTCAATCACTGTTCTTTTAAAATACTATAAGTTCCTTTAAAGAGTAAAGTTAGCTTACAGTTGTAGTCAAGGACTGACATGACTTGCAATGTTGCTGGCAGTGGAGCGACTGGGTTTAGGACCAACACCTTGTCCGTTTTTGTTCTAATCCTTAGTCCTGGGTGGTGTGCAGTAGATAAGGGTGCTGAGTGAATGCGTGAAGGCTGTAGGCAGGAAAAGTTGTGGAGAAACTTTTAGATTTGGGAAGTTACATAGAGAGACAAGAGCTGTCCAGTGAGTTTAGAGGCTTCCTTTATTAGAAATGCTTAAATTAGCATGGGTGTCTTTCTGCAGAGGCAGAGAAAGGGCTAGGATTGTGTAATTCATTCCCTACAAGATGAATAAACGTGATCCCTGCTTTGCAGAGGTTCATATTGTAAATCTCATCTGTGCTAAGTGATCGTGTTGTGTGACCAGGAAGACAGAGGGGCCACCGTGTGTCCTGGTGGCTCCAAGTTGAGGACACACTTAGATCGACATTTGGGGGAAGACTGGGGGGAAATAGGGTGAACCTTGAACTTAATTTTTAAAACAGAAATGTTAAAATATGGAAATTCCTAGCCATCGTTTTCAATTAATTAAAATACAATATGTTATTTAAACACCTAAAATCTATCTTTTATTCACTTACCTGTTAGAAGAGGAAATACCCAGGAGTAGTTCAGGGCATATAGTAGGGTCCCACTACCTTGGTTCATATCTCAGCTCTGTTGCTTGCCAGGTGTGTGATCTGAGACATGTCATTTAGCCTCTCTGGGCCTCAGTCCCTCATCTATCAAATGGGAGTAATGAAAGTCTCTGTCTCATAGCATGATGTGAAGACTAAATAAATTAATCTGTGTAAAATGCTTGGAAAAAAATGTTTGTTTGGTTTTTTTGAGTTGAAGTCTCACTCTGTCACCGAGACTGGAGTGCTCCTGGCCACCGCAGCCTCAACCTGCTGGGCTCCGGCGATCCTTCTGCCTCAGCCTTCCAAGTAGCTGGAACTACAGGCGTGCACTACCACACCCGGCTAATTTTTTGATTTATTGTAGAGATGAGGTCTCACCAAGTCGCCCAGGCGGTTCTTGAACCCATGGGCTCAGGCAATTCACTCACCTCAGCCACCCAAGGCGCGGGATTACAGGCTGAGCCACTGGGCCCAGCAAAAAATGTTTTTTTATTAAATGGCATGGGAAACCTTTTTTACTTTTTGGTAAGATATGTGCGGCTATCACATAACATAAACAATTCCTAGCTCACTAATAACTGGAATAGCAGGAGTCATAAAACTCTGTGGAGGAGGGGATCTGATCTATGATTCAGTATCAAAATCCTGAGATCCCCAGGGTGTCTTCTTGCTTCATTATTTTTAATTGCTGGGATTGATTAAACAGGGATTAGAAAACATGGTGAGGCTGTTACTTGCTTTCATTTACAATTTAGACCACTTCCTCTGGATCTCCTTTCAGACTCTTTTACGTACCTTTTGCTTTCAAAAGCACCCAAGGGATGGTGTCATGCTGGTATGATCCTTCTGAGTCTAAATGAAAATCAAACTATGAAACCATTTTTATGATCTTATATGTTTATTTGTGAACAAATGTCTAGATTTGCAAAATCTTGATTTCCAAAGCTCCAGCCTTGATGGAATATGAATGAATACCTCCTCATGTCTGAACACCATGACATAAAAGCTGTAAAACATGCATTTTGCTGACACTGTGTCCACAGTTTTTAGATTAAGCACATGCGACCTGTGTGCTTGCTGTCTCATGCCAGTAGGGAAAATCTCTTGAAAGCTCTAATTATAGTTTTCCTGAGAACAAATGCTAAAATAGTGGAATTCCATGACATTTAATGAGATTTCCAAATTGCTCGAATTCAAGACTTGCTTATTATCTCATCTAAATTTATGATCATGTCCAGGTAGTCTGTACTTAGTGATCCAGGGCCTACTGTGAGGCATGTGGGGGAAAGTTTATCCCAGATGACACCCACTGTGGAAGAGGAGCCTAGGCTGGGTGGAAGGAGGGATTCCTTGTCCTAGGGAACTTGCAAAAGGCCATTTTATACCTACTGACCATGGGTAGAACATTTTCTTACACAAACGAAGTTACTCTGTTCCTACCTAGGAAAAATTGTCTTATGAGGAAAGGGACTGGTATCTCCCACCCAGCAGTTAAGACTATACAGATGAAAAATGGGCAGTGGTAGAGAACAGCAGCTCCAGCACTGCCTGTTTCAGTTTGTGAGAAAGGAGAACCTTTGCACCTGGCAACACAAATAGTCTACGAATCAGGCAAAACCACCAGAGGTGCTCATGACACACCAGGATGGAAATATCACTTGGGCCCTTCCTTGTCTTGCCCTACTGCCACTGGAGAAATGTTAGGGGGAAGCACGATGGCTGTGTCCGTGGTTGTGCAGTTTGTCCACCAAGAAGGATTGAAGAGGGCTGACCCTGGCCCGGCGTGGGCGCAGCCTGCCCCGGGTTGTTCCTTTTCCTAACACACACAGGGCAGCTCACAGACAGCAGAGCCCGGGAGGGATGCAGCAAGACAAGTGTGGCGCTGGTACTGTGCCAGTAAATCCCTCTGATGTGCTGCCTGAAAGACAAGCCCGCTCCATGCTCTGCTCTACAAATTCTCCTGTTTAAAATTCAAATTATTTTTTAAAATCTCAGATTTGAGTGTGTCAAAGTGGCAAGTTTTTAGCTGCTGCAATTTAGCCAGGCTGTGATATAAAATAAATATATTTTATAAAAACTTTGGGATCAAATTGTCACTAACATGTAGGGTTCAGTGGTGTTGCCTCCTTTCGCTGGGGACAGGGCAGGACCTAGGTAAACACCAGGTCTCCGCAGGGGACTTGTGGGAGTGTTTCAAGGGGAGGAAGCCAGCCTTTCCAGCGCTGGTAGCTGAACACTTAGGGTCCTTGGATGCGCGTGGTGGGAGATGTCTGTCTTGATGATCCATGATCACTGGGGAGCCTTCCTGGGCACCCCTCCAGCTCCCAGGGATGAACTGCGACTTGCCTGCTTCCTCCAGCCTGCTGCCCCCTCTGCCTCTGTGCCTTTGCCCATGCTGTTCCTCCTCCAGGAGCCACCATTCTCAGTCCTGGCCACACCTGCCACCACCTGGGAACACTTCAAACCCCCGAGACAGAGCCTCACCCCAGACCAATTAAACTACACTCACCAGAGAGGGGCCCAGACACGACTGGCTTTCAAATTCTGTGGGATATTCCAACCAGTGGTCAAGACTGAGACCTTCTGGGCCGTGATGGTACCATCTTCTTGGCAGACTGTCGGTCGCCCTGTAAGTTTTAGCTTTAGGGTCCATTTTGAGGGACACTACCTTGCCTTCCATGTTGAGGAAGGTGCCTTCCTCAGTGCTCCTGAACATTGCCATCACCACACTCAGAGATGTGTGCCTGGGACACGACTGGCTCTCCTGTCTGCCCAACCGAGCCACCTCTCCTTCAGGGAAGGACCAGACTGTATCTTATTCTTCGTGGTATCGAGCCTGATTTCTAGGAGTTACTATTTTATAGGAAACACCTTGGGCAGTCATCCCCAAATGCCTGGAATTTTAGAAAACAGAAAGCAACTCCGTGAACAGGTAGCGCTGACATCCTGGCTGTACGTTTGGTAGGTTTGTAGGGAGCATTGCTCTGTGCAGACAGTAGAGTCAGGAAGTCATGGGATGACCCCCATGCTGAGTTATTTTCCTTCTGGTCTGGGAGAGGGATGATAGAACCAATGGTCACATGTGGTGTACAGTGTACTGTGGGAGGCAGGGCCCCTGTGAGAAGGGACAGAAAGTGCTTGGGGAGGAGACTGGGAGAGTGACAAAGGGAGCTGGGACGTGATCTGCACACTGGCCACTGAGCAGGGCTTGCCAACTGGAGAATGAGAGAAGGGCATCCATGCAGGGTAGGCATTGGTACACAGAGGCATGTCCTAGAGGCCTGTGGAAAGTTCCACAGTCTAAATGGAAAGGAAGGAGGGGTGGGAGATAGGGCTTAAGATGTGGGCATGACATACACAATTGTCCTGTGACCATAAAACCCAAACAGAAAAAGAGAAAGTTGATGAAACACAATGAGAAGAAAGAGCCGTCTGGCGGCGGGGGGGGGAGAAGACACTTGTGGATCCTCACTTCAAGACAGTAGGACAGGCTGACTGCTAAACATATGAAAAACAAACAAGTGGAGATTTCAGAGGATGCCAAGGTCAAGTCAGTGTTTATTGGCTCTGGGCTCTCTGGGGACCAGAGCCAGGAATTTCTGTGGCTTATTGCTGTGCATGGATGGGTGTGCAGGCTGCCGAGAGCTGTGTCATGAAATGAGGTGGAGAAGGAAAACGTATATACTACATAAGCAACATTTCCAATACATGTAGTAGTGTTGGCACGAAGAGAGAGTTCTATAACTGGAAGGGATTATCTGCAATAGAAGGATTTATTTGCTGTTTGGATTTTTAAAAAAAGAAACCTGAGCATATTTTCATGTTTGTAGGAAAGAACCAGGAAAGTAGGCAGGGGGGATTATCTGGGGGAGTGTTTAGTTACCTGGAGGAAGCAGGTGTTGCAGCCAGCATCCTGGGGACACCATTAAAATGTAAATTCCTCGGTTCACAAGAGTGACTGGTTATCATGTTGTAAAAATACATTACTCATGACAAGTAATTACAGTGTTCCTCCTCTCATCTCGATTTGTAAGATTTCCTGTACTTTTGACAATACTAGGATCCTTAAAATGTAAATCACCTAGTCCAACTAATATGAAAGGTAACTTCCATCCTGATCCTAATGGATTTTGGTGTTAAAGAGTTGTCAGAAGTCAGACCAGTTTTAAATAAGAATAAATCAATCACCAAACAAACCCCTGGAGGTCTTGAATTTCTGACCATGAGAAACTGTAGTGATTTTTTAATCCCACAATCATGCTTGTCTGTGTCTTTAATCAGAATCTCAACAAATTCTACCTTCACACCTGCTGCTACACAATAAAGAAAGCCTATTTTAAGGTCAGGACTTGACACGTATAAGCAGAAGCTGTTTCAATAGAAGTACTGATGTGATCTTGGTGTATCTTTTAATTTATAGGTAACACTGTTAAATTTCATGATAACTTTGGAAGGAATGCAAGATCAGCTCCTGGGAATCGTGGTGGCACGAGAAAGGCCAGACCTTGAGGAAGAGAAGCAGGCCTTGATCTTACAAGGAGCTGAAAACAAAAGGTTCTGCATGTGATAAAACACAGAATTGCTCTTATTTGTGTTGAGACCACTAGAACAAACTAAAGTACATTTTAGGATTTCTTTTGTTGGTATAATAGGTACACTGAGGGGGAAAATTAAGAGGAAAATGTAAGGAATTACCATGCCTCTAGATTAATTTAGAACATTGCATTACTGAACATGTTTTAACAAGCAAATTCTTAGGCATGTGCAGAACTGGAAGGCCTGCCACCAGTAAACGCAGCATGCTTTCAAATATTCAACTAAATTTTAACACAAAAGCTTTCTCTTGTGTTAAAGTATTTCTCACGTAACTGAGGAGACCTTTTTGCTGGAACACAATGAATATGCTACTTTCTGCTCATAATATTCACATACCAGGTAGAAAGAGTCCAGCTGTGTACATTGTTTAAGATTTCAGAAAATAGATGAAGTGCTCAGCTCTGTTCGCTCCAAGCTGAGATGCTTGATGGCAGAGTGGATTGGCTTGCCGTATTTCTCTCTAGTTACCACATCAGTGATCATTAAAAAGGGAACTGGTGCAGAAAGGCCCATCTTTGTGACATTTTGCAAGATAAGAAATTAATTTTACAACATCACCATTACCGATATTTGTCACAAAGTGATGCATTTCTTTAGGTTACAAGCTCTTTGTCTCTTATAAAAGAACGTATACGTGAGGTGATTCTAAATGATTTCTTTTTCTTCTGAGAAAATTCCGTCTTATTCCAGGCAGTTAAAAGAAATAGAAGACAAGATTTTGGAAGTTCTTTCGTCTTCAGAAGGCAATATATTAGAGGATGAAACTGCTATTAAGATATTATCTTCCTCCAAGGCTCTGGCTAATGAGATTTCTCAGAAGCAGGAAGTGGCCGAAGAGACTGAGAAGAAGATCGACACCACCCGCATGGGCTACCGGCCCATTGCCGTGCATTCCTCCATTCTGTTTTTCTCGATTGCTGACTTGGCCAGCATCGAGCCCATGTACCAGTATTCACTGGTCTGGTTCATTAACCTTTTCATCCTGTCCATCGAAAATTCAGAGAAATCAGAAATTTTAACCAAAAGGTATGTAAAGGAAATTATCACTAAATTAATTAACGCATGAAAATTAGAGCGTATTTGTGGCTCCTGTGGTGTCTCAGAATGGTGCAATTGCTGTGGCCACCACCTGAAGTGAGCTTGACTAATCACGGTGCCGGAGGAAAGCTGAAGGTTGAAAGTTGAACAGCTGTGTCCAAATTCAGTCTGCCAAAACACTGTTTATAGAGATACAGGATTAGAATGTGATTCTAGAAAGAGGCAGCATTTACCTTTGTTTATCATTTGTAAAGTATGTTAAAAATTGGAGATATGGAAAGAGTTGTTAATACTCTCACAAGAGAGGACTCCTGTTCTCTATGCACTAATATTTGAAAGGCTGCAAATTCACATTATAATATACAATAAAATGTATCAAGTACCAAGATCAGAATCGCAAACCTTCTTGTGATTATTTGTGGTGTTTCTTTTGTGTTATTCTTATTATATAAAATACCTTCTATTACTGTTGACTATTGGGATAAGTGATAGAATTAAGACCTAACAGAGTAAATCTTTGTGAGAATAAAATTTCATTTGATTTTTTTAACAGTGAGATAATTTGCAGTTTGGCATTAAAACATTTTTAATAGCATTTAATGTGAGATTACTTTTGAACAAAGAAAGTAATTAATTGCAACCTTTGCCGTTTGTAAACTTCTTGATCAATATGAGCTTAGGTACTTCAGTTTCTTGATTATTTAAACCCACAAAGGAAACTCAACTTAATATTTGTCATTCACAGTTAAGAATTATCTTTTAGAAATCCAAAATGTTAACCTCATTGAAATTAAATTGACACTTGGCTTGACTAAAACGAATTTCAGATGTCTCCCAATGAGACAGAGAGGAAGAGTAGGTTATTTCTTGGGAAGAAATGCATAATGATAGAGTTTAAAGTTTGTTTTTATATGATGGTATTTGAAAATGGTTAGGTTATTTCTCTAGTTCTTCCAGTTCTGAAATTTTCAGGTTTAGCAAGGATTACTGAAATAAAGAGAACACAATTTTAAGTGATCTTTTTTTAGAACCATTTTCCTAGCCATTTTCACAATAAGTTAGTTCATTGCACATGTGTGTCTGGTGTTCACACTCGATTTTCAGTTCTGTGAGACAAAGATTTGAAATATACATTTACACAGCCCCAGTACTTCCAACAGTGTGGATCATGTGACAGCCACACAGTAAGTGATGCCCTGATCATCTCTGCAGGACTTTTTTCTTCTTCTTCTTTTCTTTTCTTTTTTCTTCCCTTTCCCTTTCCCTTCCCCTTCCTTCCTTCCTTCCTTCCTTCCTTCCTTCCTTCCTTCCTTCCTTCCTTCCTTCCTTCCTTCCTTCGAGTCAGGTTGCAGTGAGTGGCATGATCCCAGCTCACTGCAGCCTCAGCCTCCTGGGCTCAGAGGATCTTCCTGCCTCAGTCTCCTGAGTAGCTAGGACTATGGACACACATCACCACACCTGGCTTCTTTTTTTTTTGGTAGAGATGAGGTCTCACTATGTTGCTTAGACTGGTCTCAAGCGATGTTCCTGCCTCAGCCTCCCAAAGTGCTGGGATTATAGGTATTAGTCACTGCTCCTCACCATTCTCTGCAAGTCTTAACTCTACCTTGATTGAAACAATAACCACCAGAGCATTAGCCTCTTAACTAGTTTAAAATCAAGGTATTTGGTGGAGTCTAGGAAATTTCTTTGGTCTGCTATTTAAAATGCATTTTTCATATAACATTTAAAAATTAGAAAAATTCTGTGCTTTAAAAGTAATGATTGTCTTTTATTTTTTCTTGTTATATTAAATTAGAACTCGCCCAAGACATGGGATCTGTTTTTTCATTATTATGCTGTAGTGTCTTAGATGCAAAGAAAATCAAATCCTTTTTTACCCAGATGCGAGATTTGAATGAATTCCAGAAAACAAAATGTGGCTTTTTCTTTTTAAACTCCTTTAATTTAGAAACAATAAAAAAAAAATCATATGTATCACTGTAGTAGTACTACAAGTATAATTCTGGGACCAAAGAATAAATAGAGAAAATGTGTTTTTGAACCTTTATTGAAGTTATTACCGTACATGCATAAATGTGCAGAAATCAGAATTTGCTGAGGGAATTTTTGTAAGTGAGCAGACCTGTGTAGCTAGCACCCCTCTCCAGCAGGACTCAGAACATGTCATCCTGGAAGTGTCACCATCTCCTCACTGCCCTCCTCACCTCCAAGAACTGCTGCCCTGTCTACAACATCACAGATGGGTTTTGACAGGTTCAGAATTCCCTGTATCTGGATCCCCACAGTGTGTGCTGTCCAAGTCTGGAATCATGTGTTCAGCATCCTGTTGGTAAAACTCACACACGGTGTTTTGTCTGGGACAGTGTTTTGTTCACTTTTGCTGTTAGTTTTCCATTGTGTGACTGTTGTTAAGGAAGTGTATTAAAAATGAAGTCTTCTCCCACCCAGAAATTTTCTTCACAAAGGTTGTCAAGAAAGAAGACACTTTCACTATGGAAAAAGCATTAAACCAGAATACAATGGATGTTGCAGGGATCTGCAGAGATGGCAGAGAAAGAAAGGAGTCTCCTCCAGATGATCCGATCAGAAGAAAAATTGCAGAGACAGCAAGGAATCCCCCCAGATTATTCGAGCAGAAGAGGCATAACAGAGACAGAAAGGAATCCTCCCCCAGGTTATCTGAGCAGAAGAGAGATTGCAGACAAAGAAAAGAATCTTCTCCTGATTATTCAAGCAGAAAAGAGATTGCAGAGAAAGAAAGGAGTCCCTCCTCAGATTATCTGAGCAGAAAACAGATTACAGAGTTAGAAAGGAATCCCCCCTCACCACCACCAGATTATCTGAGCAGAAGAAAGATTGCAGAGACAGACAGAAAGTAATTTCCCCCAGATTATCCAAACAGAAGAGAGATTGCAGAGACAGAAAGGAATCTCTGCCCCCTGCCGCAGATGAGATCAGAAGAGAGATTGCAGAGAAACAAAGGCATCTTCCCCAGATTCTCTGAGCAGAAGAGAGGTTGCAGAGACAGAAAAGATCCCTTCCCCAAGATTATCCAGCAGAAGAGAGATTACAGAGACAGAAAGTAGTCCCCCTTGGTAATTGGAGCAGAACCTGCCCATTTCATCCTGATTTTACCTGGCAATTGTGGCAACCATCTTTTTTCGCAAATTGACTGTGTCTGGAGGAAAACCAAACTTTTCATGTCTATGTGATGAGAAGTCATTTGGGGCTTGGCACAAGGAGCCCCCTGAAGTTAGGGATCTGCCCTCCCACAGGAACTTGGAGTTTGGAGGCTAGAGGTCACTATGCTGTCTTCCTTGGTGCTTACTTATGTTCCAGAGAAATGGCTCCATGGGTCTTCCAAAAGGACATTACTGGGTCACAAAACTCACAAAGCCTGACTAGTTTTGTAAAGAATTCATACACATTTCCAAGAGAGGAGATGGTGCTTACAAATTTAAGTGCCCTAAGAAAAAGAAGAGGGGGGAATCTCCTTATTTTCAACAGGGAGAATTAAACCCCTTATTTTTAATTTGTGTTTGTCCTAACACTAAATTATAAATTAAATTATAATCATTATGAATAATAAACATCAGAAGACAAAAAGGATGAACTATATTTATATTCCTAAGTAAAAGGAAATGGGGAGATCATCTTAGACCAGTATTGAGATTCTAAGATGATTTGGCAGGCTAGTGTTAAGTCACAGTTTTCCATGCTTTCAGTATAGCTATCGTCTATTAACTGGCTAAAGTCCACCCGTTATCAAAGTTTTTATCTTTTCTACTGTTGAAGACACTGAGGTGGCTTCCAGTTTAGGGCTATTGTGAGTTTTTGCTGCCTTAAACATCCCTGTACATGGCTTTTCATGTAGTTATGTCTATGCCCGTAGTGGTATATCCAGGAATAAAACTGATGACCTCGGGGAATGCTGTGTTCCCTTTAAGTATTGCCAAATAGTATTTCGGATCATCTCTCTTAAAAGAGAGAACCTTTTAATTAGTCCTGTTTAATCTTTTTTTTTTTTTGAGTTAGAGCCTCACTCCACTGCTCAGGCTGGAGTGCAGGGGCACACTCACAGCCACCCCAGCGTTGACCTGCTAGACTCCGGTAATCCTTCCACCTCAGCCTTCCAAATAACCAGAACTACAGGCATGCGCCACCACACCCGGCTAATTTTTTATTTATTGTAGAGACGAGGTCTCACCAAGTTGCCCGGGCTGGTCTCAAACCCGTGGGCTCAGGCAGTCCCCTCATCTCGGCCTCCCAAAGTGCTGGGATTACAGGGACTTTTTTTTTTTTAAGTAAAATAAGATTTTCGAATTAAGAAGCTAGCTCCCAAATCAGAAATTAAAGAGAGATTGAATCCTCCTAGGAATGATTGACCTGCTAACTGTTGTTAAACATCAAATAACAAGTGGACTTTAGCTAGTTAATGGATCATAGCTATACTGAAAGTATGGAAAACTGTGACTTAACACTAGCCTGTTAAATTATCTTAGAATCTTAATACTGGTCTAAAATGATCTCCCCATTTCCTTTTACCTAGGAATATAAATGTAGTTCATTCTTTTTTGTCTTCTAATGGTTATTATTCATAATGACTATAATTTAAGTATGACACAAAGAATATATTATGTTATGACTACTGAGATGGTTACTGTGAAATTACCACAATAACTTGGATCATGTTATATATAATTTTTAATGCATTAGAATTTATGTAACAGAGTAAATAAATAACTGTAACTAAAAAATACAGAAACAAAAATTAAAATCTAGCCTGGGTACAGTGGCTCACATCTGCAATCCCAACACTTTAGAAGGCCGAGACAGGAGAACTGCTTGAGCCCAGGATTTCAAGACCAGCCTGGGCAACGTAGCAAGACCTCGTTTCTACAAAAAATTAAAGCATTATCTAGGTGTGGTGGCATACGTCTGGAGTTCCATCTACTTGGGAAGCTGAGGAGGGAGGTTTGCTTGAGCCCAGGAGTTCAAGGCTGTGGTGAGCTGTGATTGTGCCACCGTACTCCAGCCTGGATAATAGAGTGAGACCCTGACCCCCCCCAAAAAAAAATCTAACCAGGATATAGTTTTGTTATAGGGATCAAACTGAACTCTATCACTATACAAATGTGTATATATGTAATTACACAATTTTTTTTCTCACTTCTATCAAAATCATTTTCCCATGTTATTAAATACTCTTCTGAAACACAATTTTTTTTAAAATTTGGAATCTCACTCCATTGCCCAGGCTGGAGTGCAGTGTCATGCTCACAGCCACTCCAGCATCGACCTGCTGGTCCCAAGCAATCCTTCCGCCTCAGCCTTCCAAGTAGCCGGAGAAACATGATTTTTTAATGTCTAAAACATTTATTGAATATTGTTTATTTTATGTACCATCTAAAGATGCCCCTGAATTTCTGAAACACAATTTTTAGTGGCTGGATCATATACCATTTTATGTATGTACTAATTTTCTTTTTTTTTGAGTTGGAGTCTCACTCTGTTGCCCAGACTGGAGTGCAGTGCCACTCCCGGCCACAGTAGCCTTGACCTGCTGGGCTCCGGCGATCCTTCTGCCTCAGCCTTCCAAGTAACTGGAACTACAGGCGCGCTACCACGCCCGGCTAATTTTTTGATTTATTGTAGAGATGAGGTCTCGCCTGCCCAGGTGGGTCTCGAACCCGCGGGCTCAGGCAGTTCACTCACCTCAGCCTCCCAAAGGCGCGGGATTACAGGCTGAGCCACCGAGCCCGGCTTGTACTAATTTTCTTAATCTGAAATGTTTTCCCAGCTTTTGTATTGTAAATAATGCTGCAGTAAATGTACATGTCTGCATCATTGATTATTTTTCTAGGCTACTGTCCCCAAATTAGGGAAAGGTATTTACTTCTTTCAGATTTCTGATATGAATTCCTTCTCTGGAAGGTAATTCAGATGCATAACTTCATCAGAAGAGCATGTGTGAACTTATGTCACTGTGTCACCAGCATTGAGAGTGATAGTTTTATCTTCTTTTTCACCTTAATAGTGATAGTTTTATCTTCTTTTTCACCTTATTAAAATATCATATTTTAATTTCCATTTTCACTAGTAAGTTTGAACTTGAACTTCTAACATGGTGATCCTTGTCATTTTTCCTTCAGTTTTTCTATCTACAAGAGGAAATTTGTCTCAAAGTGCAAAAAATTTTATTTTATTTTATTTTAGAGAGACCAAATCTGAGTCACCCTATATTAATTGTACTGTACTGCTACAGGTGAGACAAATTAGATGCCATGTATGAAAAGCCCACCTGTCAGCTTAACAATGGGAACAGGAATAGCATCCTTATTTTAAATCTTCTAAGAATTCTTCAGCAACTACTGTCAGGGCCTTCTCTACCAAACCCTTTTTTAGAATTCCTAACTAGAAATAAGATAGCATCAATTTGTTGCAGTTCTCTTTGTGGGAATGCTGGCAGGGGATTAAACTGTTAAGAAAACAGGCCAGGAAGCAAAAATGGATAAGCAAATAGAGTTAGGATGATTGACAGCCTGGGATACTCATCTGGACATTGCCAAGATCCAATCATACAGGTGGATTCTTTTTTTCTAGACACATCCAGGAACACCAGTTTAATTTTGCTTAATCATAACCAGACTGTGGTGATTTTTCCTTCAGATATATTGATCTGCTTAGAAAGTTTGAATCATTAATCCGTGTCAATCATTGGTTCTTACTAAATGTTTTCAGTCAGTTGTTTTAGGTCATTTCTATTATAACTAGTATAACCTACATAGTAAAAATATTTTTAAAATTTTGATTTCAGTGATAATTTATCTTCTGTGATAATTAGGTTAAAATACTTAAAGTGTTAGATTGACATGAAGAATTATTGCGGATACAGATCACATGTTAACACTTACTAGAAAGCTGTTAGAAATTTGTGTTTTCATATATTGACTCTGTAGCAAATAAAAATGTAGTTTATCAAGTTTGTGACTTCTTCAGCTTTTATGGATTTATGATCAGAGTAGCATAGTATTAAATTTAATTTAATAAAGAATCTATTAATTTAAGTCTGTTTAATATATAAAGATATTTGGAAGTATTTATGTTACAAAGAGATCAAATTATACCCCCCAGAAGTGCTTCATAGTTAAAAAGTCTGAGGACTTTTTAATTCAATAGGTTAATATGCCATCCACTTTTTTCCAAAAGGGAAATTCAGTTTTTAATTTTTTAAATTTTTACTTATTTATTTTTGAGTCAGAGTCTCAGTCTGTCAGCCAAGCCGGAGTGCAGTGGCATGCTCTCATCCACCGCAGCTTCAACCTGATCAGCCTTCCAAGTAGCTGGAACCTCAGGTGCACGCCTCCATGCCTGGATTATTTATTTATTTATTCATTTATTGTAGAGATGAGGTCTCCTCAAGTTGCCCAGCCTGGTCTTGAGCCCCTGGGCTCAGGCAATCCTCTCACCTCGGCCTCCCAAAGTGCTGAGATTACAGGCATGAGCCGCCACACCTGGCCAAGATTCAGTTTTTTAAAAAACCAGTCAACAGTAAAATGCAGCTCTGCTGAAGTATTTCTACCCAGTGTAGCTCTCATGGGTGATTCCTTCAAGGTAATTGACCAGAAAGTGTGTTAGAAGAGCAAGCATCTAAGTCATTTATCAAGGTTTCCTTAAGAGTGGATCCATTGTCATGTATTTACTTTCTCTTGCCCCCAGGCTCCAGATCCTCAAGGATCACTTCACTTACTCGCTCTATGTCAACGTCTGCCGCTCACTGTTCGAGAAGGACAAGCTGCTATTCTCGTTCTGCCTCACGGTGAACCTTCTGCTACATGAGCACGAGGTCAGCACTATCCCCCTTCATAAGAAAAAGCATATGTTTACAGAATCGCTATCCTGTTCCATTAGTCTGTGTGACTGTTCTTGTACCAATACCAGGCTATTTGATTATTGTAGTCTTGTAATAGAATTTAAAGTCTGAAAGTGTGATATCTGCCACATTGTTTCTTTTGCTAAGGATTGTTTTGGCTATTCGTGGTCATGGTCGTTTATGTTTCCATATGAATTTCTGTATAGTTGTTTCCAGGTCTGAGAAGAATGATGTCGGTAATTTTAATGGGTGTAGTGTTGAATCTGTAGGTTGCCTTTGGTAGGATGGACATCTTAACAATGCTGATTCTTCTATTCCATAAGCATGGAATGTTTTTCCATTTGTTTGTATCTTCTTTGACTTCGTTGAGCAGTGTTTTGTAGTTTTCGTCGTAAAGATCTTTCACTTCTCTGGTTAGGAAGATGCCGAGGTATTTCTTTCCTTTTTGTTTTGTGTCTATTGTGAATGGGGTTGTGCTTTTTATTTGATTCTCTGCCTGTTTGTTGTTGGTGTATAAAAATACCACTTTTGCCGGGCTCGGTGGCTCAGCCTGTAATCCCGTGTTTTGGGAGGCCGAGGTGAGTGGATTGCTTGAGCCCACGGGTTCGAGACCCGTCTGGGCAACTTGGGGAGACCTCATCTCTACAATAAATAAAAAAAAATTAGCCGGGTGTGATAGCACACACCTATAGTTCCAGCTACCTGGAAGGCTGAGGCGGAAGGATCGCTGGAGCCCAGCAGGTCGAGGCTGTGGTGGCCGGG